CATTGATACTATTGATTCTGCATTGTATTGACTTGCTACATTTGATTTATTGATAGGGTAGATTGAAATTTATCGTATTGCTTTTCCGATTGATTTTATTGACTAGATAGCATAGATTAGATTAGATTTGATTGATTGATTCGACACGATTGATTTGACGGATTGATTGATTTTCTTCTGTGTACGGATTTCTTCTAGATTAACGTGTATTGATTGAGCTTGATTTATCGATTTGCCTGCTGCTGCATTGACTGGTTTTATTGACTATGGATTTCTGTATTGCATAGACTCATTGACCATTGACTGATATGGATTTGATTGACTGACATGCATATTGATAGCATCGCCGTGCTTTGATTTCAGTTATAGGTATTTGGTGACCTGCTGGGCTATTTAAGCTCATTATATGTGGTTAACAATTTCAGGTCAGAGTAAGGGAGCAGGAATGAAGATTGATCAAGACTGTCGACGAATCCTTTCACTATGGATGCCTGGGGCGTCACAGAGGAAGAGGGAGATGTTGCCGAGCTGTTTGAGAGCGAATTGAGACCGCAGCTGCTGAAGTAAGATTTGAATAGCGGTTGGATCATTCCCTGTTACTAAGAAGTCATCCACATAAATGAGAATAAATAACAAGGAAGAATTGGAGTCGAGAATAAGAAGGGACGGATCAGCACGGCTGATCATGAATCCTTTCGATTGGAGAAAACTTGTTAGCTTTTGGAACCATTGGCGAGGAGCCTGCTTGAGGCCGTATAGAGACTTCTGAAGTTTACAGACGGCCGTGGGATTTTGTTGATCGACGAAACCGGGCGGTTGACGCATGTAAATGTCTTCGGGGAGATCGCCATGGAGAAAAGCATTGGATATATCTAGTTGATGCATGGGACAATTCCGATTGACAGCAAGAGCAAGAAGGAGACGAATAGTGGGCATCTTGGCGACGGGACTGAAGGTCTCATTGTAGTTAATTCCGAATTGTTGATTGTAGCCAAGTGCAACCAAGCGGGCCTTGTATCTGTCTATGTTACCGTTAGGTAGTAATTTGGTTTTGTAGGTCCATTTACATCCAAGTACCGGTTTGTTGACAGGAGGCTGAACTAGAGTCCACGTTGCTTGCTGTTTCAGGGCATTGAATTCGGTGATCATGGCTTGCTGCCAGTGAGTCGACTTAGCGGCCTGATTGTAGGTAGCCGGGGTGAAAGAATTGTTACTGTGAGCCATAAGATTGATAATTTGCTTTGGTTTGTGAATGCCGGACTTGGATCTAGTCTGCATGTGGTGAGGAGGAGGTCCGGGCGGGATAGGAACCGAGGGAAGTAGGACGGTTTGAGAATCAGGTTGTCTGGCAGATGAGATAGGGTCCGGAGAAGGAATGAGGTTGTTGGCAGAATCAATTGGAGGAGAGGTGGTAACAGGATGAGGAGACGTGTGCATGGGTTGAGCCGAAGTGGGAATTAACAGAGTTGGAGGAATGTGACAGTTAGGTGGAGGATTAGATGTGCTGTCGGAAGTGGTGAGAGATTTATAAGGGAATTGGTGCTCGTAGAAAACGACATGGCGAGAGATATGAGTTTTCCCCGTGGACAGATCGTAGCATTTATAACCTTTGTGAATAGGGGAATAACCGATGAACACAAAAGCTTGAGATCTAGGTGAAAATTTATCGGAGACATAAGGTCGAAGCCATGGGTAGCATAAGCACCCGAAGGTTCGGAGAAGATGGTAATCAGGGTCGCGACCGTGTAAGAGTTTGAAGGGAATGTTGCCGGAGACTGCTTTGGAGGGGAGGAAATTGATTAAGTGATTTGCAGTAGAGATCGCCTCCATCTAGAATTTGTTAGGGGTCCCGGATTCTAACAGGATGGCACGAGTGATATCAAGGAGATGGCGATGCTTACGTTCAGATAATCCGTTCTGCTCTGGCGTGTAGGGGCAGGACAATTGTTGCGAAATTCCGTGATCTTGTAAGAAGGTTTTAAAGGCGTGACTGGTGTATTCGCCTCCGCCATCAGAGCGAAGGATTTTAGGTGTGGTGTGGAATTGGGTGTGAACCATTTTGCAGAAATATTTAAAGGTGGCAAGAACTTGATGTTTGGCATGCAAGAAGTAAATTCAGGTGAACCGAGAGTGATCATCTATGAAGATGATGTAATATCTGTAACCATCGGTAGAAGCGAGAGCCGTAGGGCCCCAAACATCGGTGTGAATTAAGTCAAAAGGTTTAGAAGAAACTGTAGTATGTTTATTGAAAAAGATTTTATGGCTTTTAGCCTTATTACAAGATTCACAAGAAGTAGATTTGTTTACATGAACTAAATCATTAATCTGTCTTGCGAGGTTGGAGAGCGTGTCATGACCAGGATGTCCCAAACGTGAATGCCACGGAGTAGAAGGCCTGTTGACAGCCGTAAGAGCCGCTGGAGGGCTGTCTACGAGAGGGCAGATCTTGTACAGACCGTTATGAAGGCGACCAAGAAGAAGAGGTTTCTTGTCCCGAAGGTCCTTTATGATGAAACCGTTAGCATCAAAAGTAATAGATAAAGAATTATCCTTTGTTAATTTAGATACAGAAAGTAGGTTGTGAGTGAGTTCCGGTACATGTAGAAGATTATGAAGAACTAGCTTACGATTTGAGTCCGGGAGAGGAAGTAGACCCGGACCGTTGTTGTATATGGGGAGCGTGGATCCGTTTGCTGTGGAGACGGTGTCCGAGCCTTGATAGGTGGTCGGGTAGGTGAGATGAGATATGCCCGGTGTTAAGTGAGAAGTGGCACCGGTGTCGAGGACCCAATCTTGAGTACCGGAGTTGTTCTGAGTGGCAAGAAGCGCGCGAGGCGGCCGAGTATCCGTCGGGGCATATTTGGGATTGCTTCGATGCCAGCAATTTAAAGCGATGTGGCCGATTTTGCCACAGATTTGGCAGGTCGGTCTAGCGGAGTTCGTATTGGATGGAAGATGTTGTACGTAAGTTGGAGTGACAGGGGGGTTCAGAGAGGTCTTTGGCTTGCCCGAGCGCTTGTTGCTGTAGGTGCGATTGCGAGAGTTGTTGGAGATGGCGGAGTAAAGTGCGGAAGCCGTGAGTTGTTCTTGATGAACTTCCTGCTGAAGGTGAATGTCTTCGTTGCACAACATTGAGTAGAACGTGTCGAGGTCGATCGGGACGAGTGAGTTCCGAATCGTAGCCTTGAAAGCATTGAAGGTAGTAGGTAGTCCATTCAAGATATGAAGCATAATATCCTCTGAGTCGATTTGAGAGCCAGAGGCGGTGATGTTGTCGACGATGGTCTTGATGCGTGTAAGATATTGTTGCATATTTTGATCCTTCATCTGGACGCGATACAACTCGTTCTTGAGTTGCATTACACGGGATCGGCTGGTAGGCTGTAGACGGCGTTCAAGAACCGCCCATGCCTCACTGGTGGTGGTGGTCGTAATGATGTAAGGCATAATTGGTTGGGTTACCGTTGAGAAGAGAGCCGATAGAAGATTGCTATCGACAAGGCGCCATTGAGCATACTCGACAGAGGTTGTGTCGGGCGGAGGGGAAGCAGTTCCGGTGAGGTGTCCTTCGTAGCCGTTGGCCGTGAATTGTTGAAGAAGCTGTACGCGCCATATAGGGTAATTTTTGGTAGACAAGGGATGGGGAGCAAGATTTTTGATGTTAGAAATCAAAAATTTTAGAGCTGGAGGGATGTGGTTGTTTCCGGTGGAGGCTTGAACAGAGGGGGAAGGGGAGAAGGGTGGAAGAATGTTCATTGATTCTTGATCTCCCATTAGAACTCTGATACCATGAGAGCATAACCAGGAGAATCAAGACCAAGAGAGGAACAAGAAGACGTTGCAGGAAGAAGAAAATGAGAAAGGTAATTTAGTGTATTAAGTAATCTTTGTTACAGCACAGTTGAATATAAAGAGGGAAATAATGGTATGAGCTGTAAATACAGACTCGTAAATACAAGGACTATGTTATTCTTATACTCCAAACACTTGTTAATAATTGATGTCGAATACATATCGTTTTGACCATCTAGTCCCACGGCTACCATTAAAATGACCAAACTTATAGCTTTCATCATTCAAGTTTTGACATTCCCATTGACTGCCACCTAAAGCATCTAAAGACCATTTCATGTTCAAATATCGTCTTCTCAATTGCCTGATCTCCCTTTCTGCTATGAGTGCGACTAAGCAAGTTACCCTTTTTCACTTGACTGCGGACATCCACCATTAACTATCATTAGACAATACTCATCGCTCAATAGTAACATTGACACCTTCAATTTTAACCTACTATAGTCAACTCTATTGCACTGTATTAAGAACGATAGTTTTTAGAAGAGACTATATTGGAGATTTACAAATGTATTATTGAATTTTTATATATTTAAGTATTATTTACACTCATTTATTCGGGTCAATTCGGGTCAGCGGGTCGGGTACGGGTCGAACCTGGAATTGACCCGGCACTGTTCGGGTCAACACGAACCTGACCCATTTTTAAAAACAGGTCAGGTTTCCGGACCCGAACCGATTCGGGTCCGGGTCAACCGGACCCGACACGAATGAGCCGAAGTTGACCTAAAATTGCTAATTTTTAGGTCAATATTCGATTTTCGGGTCAATCTCGGGTTTTTGGGTCAAATATGAGTTTTCGTGTTACTTTCGGGTCAATTTCGGGTTGCTAGGTCAACCTGAATCCGACCCGATTTTTAAAACGGGTTGATTTGTTCAACCCGAACCCGACCCGTTTCGGGTTTGAGTTCGGGTTGACCCGAACCCGGATTTTTCCGGGTCAGATTCGAGTCGTGTTTCGGGTCGTGTCAAAAATTGACACCCCTACTTACAAAAATAGGCCACAATGAGCTCTCTTACAAATTACAATTGCAACTTAAAAAAAAAAATACAAATTAGAAATTACAATTGTGAATTATGGATGGAAATGTAAATTGAGAAGAAGTTATCCCTTTTGTAAAATCCACCTACCCACCCTAACATTTCAAAAAACACTTTCAAAGGAGCTGCAGCGCTAAATTAGGGAATGTGCAAGTGCCAGATCGAAAAAAAGAAGTCCACCTTACGTGGCTCTGTCCAGCCGGCGATCTCCCACTCCCCTCCTCCGCCACGATATATAAGTAATTCATCCGCTCCGCCTTGGATTCGAATCGTTGGGCTGGTGCGCTGATTAGAGATCTGAAGTTTTCTGTTCTTCAAGTTTGTCCTCCTCCGTATCTTTGATTCTTGTTGTTAATAGCAAGGCAAGGAATTGGAAGAGAGATTGAGAAGGGAACGAGTGGTGAGGAAGAAGATGACTGTTTCGGACAACAGTAGGGGTTTGATATTGGCTGTGGCCTCGAGCTTGTTCATCGGGGCCAGCTTCATATTCAAGAAGAAGGGCCTCAAGCGCGCGGCGGCCAGTGGCGTTCGTGCAGGTTGGGGATTCTCTAAAATCTACATCTCACGTTTTGGTTTTTTGAGAGGTGTAGTTGTGGTTATGATCGGGTTAGGTCATTGGGTGTTCGGTTGGGGATTCTCTAGATTTGAGATTTGAGGCAAATGGGAGTGAATTTCCAGCTTGAATGGTGTTGTATGTATCTATAAGAAGTTTCGAATTTGCAAAAGTATATTAGGATTCATTACAGAAAAGATCCTCCTCTGTCCTGATTGATCATATTGCAGCTGAAAGTATGGCTTTAGGAACCTCAGTAATTGTAAATTTGCAATTTATTTTTACCCATTTTGACATGTGCTTTCTTCGAATAATTGTTGAACAATAACCTTCATGTTTGTCATAACGTTTATCTCTTGTGGATGCGAACTCAGGTTCCTCAATAAGACTACGTAATGTGACGGAGAGTTTTGGTTTATATGGTTTTATGCGTTGAATTACGATTAGAGTACAGGGAATAGCAAAAATACTTTTAACAGAAAAATTGGAAGTCCTTTTTTCTCACTGTTTTTATTGTCTTATATTGAATCTAATCTGTTTATTCATCAAAATGTAACCAGCGTCAATTATCTTATTAGGTTTCAAAGAAATAAAAAGGCCTCTTACTGGCCGTTTGCAGTGCTTATGGCTGCTAGTTATTTGAAGAAAGTTATAGCTTTTATTCTATGGAAAGATAATGTGCATCTTTTTTATGCCTGGAGTCCACTTTAGATGTCATACAATATTGAAGATCGTTTATAGTTGCAGCATAAATCACTATGGATTGTGCTACATTAGTGACATCATCATCATCATCACTAGACTTATATGAACTATTTGTGTCGGCTTTATTAATCTTCAATTTTCATTCATTCTTCATTGTTGCTAAGTGTGGCTTGATGCAATCATTCTATTTTGTGCAGATTTGGTTACACAATTTCTATCCATGTTACTTCTAGTCTACCTCTTTTCTCTCCTAATTCTTTATATTAAGATAAGTGAGAGTGACTTACATAAATAATTTGAAGACTTTATGTGGTTTTAGTAAATGATCAAAATGATTCCTAAAATTATTATGTGTCTATTTTAGATTCAGATTTTTGAAGTGTTCAATTTAATTCCTCAACTTATCAAATTTGTACTAATTTAATCCTATAGTCAATTTTGCTATCTCCTTGGATGGAAGTTAGTGTTGGGAAGTTCTTCATGAGAGCATTTTGGATTTTTTTATGATTAATCTTAATAGTTAATACATGCTTAAACTAATGAGATTAAATGTTCCAAATTTTCTTTATGAAAAACTTTTCTTTATCAATTTCCATCCAAAGAAATGACAAAGTTGGCGGAAGGACTGAATTAGTTCAGATTTAATGAATTAAGAAACAAATTTAAACACATGAAAAAGCGAAATTAAAATGGACACACTTAAAAAGTCTAAGATCATTCTGATAATTTACTCTATTTGATCTTCTCATCAAAAATAGATTCAGACACATTTGGATGGAATGCTCTTATGAATCTGTAAGTTAACTATATTTAGATTGCAAAATGAATCTTCATTTTCCCCTTTGAAACATTTGTGTATAACATTCTTTCATTTACTTTTTCCCAAAATTTGATTTTTTTTGTTTTGTTTCGTTCGAAAGTGTCAAAGGCTCTATTTCTTTTATGCTTCTCAGGCTCTATTTCTTTTATGCTTCTCTTAATAGAGAACTTCTATTCATGCAATTTAACTTAGATTATATTTAACTTCTTATGTTTACATATTGGCTGAGCTTTTGAAATTGTTCTTTTCGACCTCTTCTTTGATTTTTTTTTTATTAATTATTGTAGGTTTTGGAGGGCACTCCTACTTGTTAGAACCATTTTGGTGGATGGGAATGATGTCAAGTAAGATGGTTTCCTAAAGAATGCCATAGTTTTTATATATTTTATATATGAGAGGCTTGAAGCATATATTATGAACAGTGCTTGTAGGCGAGGCTTCAAATTTAGTGGCTTACGCTTTTGCTCCAGCTGTTCTTGTAACTCCTCTAGGTGCTTTGAGCATAATCATCAGGTAAATAACTGACGAAATGAAAGGTCTTGTACTATTCAAATTTGATGTTAATCAGCAGCGTCTCATGCATTTAAGTAATTCTGCAGTGCTGTTCTGGCACATTTCATGCTGAAGGAGAAGTTACATAAAATGGGTATTCTGGGATGTATATCGTGCATTGTTGGTTCACTTGTCATTGTAGTTCATGCACCTCAGGAGCAGTCACCAAATTCAGTAGAAGAAATCTGGGAACTGGCCAAACAACCGGGTAAATATATACTGTGCATACGTCGTTATATTAAGATAACAATATATAATATAGTCAGGGCAGATCCAGTTTCTTTTTTCAGAGTGGGCAAAAAAAATTTTTTTGTGGGGATGGTCAAAGACTCTTAGGATTGATAAAATTAGGTTAAATGATTTTGGGGGGTGCAAAATATCAAAAATATTTCAAAATATCCCCTCTAAATATTTAATATATTTTTTTTAGGGTGGGCTGAGAACATGGGGGATCCGTCCATGAATGTAGTTCAGCATCTTTATTGTATGAGCTTGTAATGACTTTTCTTTTGTATTTTTATTTTGTGCAGCTTTTCTGATTTATACAGCAGCTGCCATAGTCATTGTCCTGGCTCTAGTGTTATTTTTTGAACCTCAATATGGACAAAAGAACATAGTAGTTTACCTGGGAATATGTTCTTTGATGGGATCACTGACGGTTAGATTTGAAACTAACTCTCTTAGCTTTTGTCTCATACTAGATTGTCATATGAGGATTTCAATATGTTTTTTTATCAAAATTTACTTGGTCTGGGAATATCTTGATTGATCTACAGGTTGTTAGCATAAAGGCTGTTGGAATTGCGATAAAACTGACATTTGAGGGGATAAGTCAGGTGGCTTATCCTCAAACATGGTTTTTCTTTTCGTGCGCCATCATTTGCACTGTTACTCAATTGAATTACCTGAACAAGGTTAGTGTATTCTTCTTTTGATTAAGCTAGTATCTTGAACCTTCAGATCGCCATTGCCTGTACATTTTGATTGTCTGAGTGGATGGCCTCTTCTAAAATGTCCGTTTTCATGCAATATCGGGAATGCTTTTGTCCAATAGTTCTGTTTTACCGGTTTGATATTTATGTTTGATATGGTCCTAATAGATTACTTTTGAGACTTAAGATTGTCAAGTTCATGATCACACTCTTTAACTGCTAAAACCTGCAAAACAGAGAAGCTCTAGCGAGCTGAGCAGAAAGGTTAGTCACGAAGGATGAAGACGAAGTTCCCTTCACGTTTCATTCTCATTAATTTCCTTTGATACTGTTTACATGTATACATAAGGAAGTGGAGGTGGAGATGAGAGTGAGCACATGGGTGGTTAAACATGGCTTTGTCAGAGCCGTTGGAGAATGTCAGAGGCCGTTGGTGGGCAATGCACCTGTATGGCTAACATCCCCCCGCAAACTGAGTGTCTCTGGAGAGAACAATCAGTTTGGTCCGAAGATCGGTGAACCTAGAAGCAGCCAGCGGTTTGGTTAGGATGTCAGCGGGCTGTTCGACAGAGCTGATGTGAAGCAGTTCAATCTCCTTCTCCTTGATATGCTGGCTTATGAAATGGTAGTCGATTTCGATATGCTTCATACGGGCGTGGAAAACAGGGTTCCGGGCAAGCGCAATGGCGGAAGTGTTGTCGCAGTACACTTTAGTTGGTTGAAGTTGTTTGGCATCAAATTTCTGGAGAAGCCGGCGTAGCCAGATAATGTCGGATGTAGCGGAAGCCAGAGCGCGATATTCCGCCTCGGTTGAAGACTTGGCGACTGTGATCTGCTTTTTAACAGACCATGAGATGAGGTTCGAGCCAAGGAACGTGCAAAATCCAGTGGTGGATTTCCTTTCGGAGGGGTCGGATGCCCAGTTGACGTCGACGTAGGTGGAGAGAGTTAACGTGTTGTGAAGCAGAGGGAGGCCGAAAGTGATGGTACCTTGAATGTACCGAAGAAGTCGTTTTAAGGCTTGAAAATGGCAGGTTTGGGGATTATGCATATGCTGACAGATCTGGTTTGTGGCAAATGCAATGTCTGGTCGGGTGATTTTCAAGTATTAGAGGGAGCCAGCAATTTGTCGATAGAATGAGGCGTCGCCGAAGGGCTTGGTTGATGCAGAGGCGGGGGGCTGTTTGAGAGCAAGTGGAGTACAGGGCGGATATTAAGTTCTGATCAATGAGCTTCCACAGTTTGTAGTCAGTGCTCGTTTCAGCTGGTTTCGTCGAGGCTCCCGTGAGATAGCCTTCGAAACCGTTTGCGGTGAAGATCTGGAGTACTTGGGATCGCCATATGACGTAGTTTTCATTGTTGAGCTGGATCGTGACTATCTGCTTGATGTTCGACATTAAAAATTTCAGAGGAGACAGGACGGTGAATTCTAAAATGTCCGTTTTCATGCAATATCGGGAATGCTTTTGTCCAATAGTTCTGTTTTACCGGTTTGATATGGTCCTAATAGATTACTTTTGAGACTTAAGATTGTCATGGTGGGTCTTATGGCATAAATTAATTAGGGTTTGGGAGGGAAAATTTGAATGAGGGGCTTTTTAGGGATTATGTAATTTTTCTTTTGCTTTAATTACTAGCTAGCTAGGGTTTGGAATTATCTTGAATTTGAAGGAGATTTGAGATCTAGGATTTGTTCTTCTTGGGCTCTAGGTGTTGTTAGAGATTTGGAGAGTTTCTTCCTCTCGAATCGAAGAAATTTTTATCTTGTATTGCTTTTCTTGTAGTGGATTGAATAGAATAAGTTTCCTTGTGTTTCTTTCAGTTTTTCTAAAATTCCAGCATTAATATTGCTGAGTTCTCTCTAAAATCAGCAAAATTTCCCACTGTTTTCACCAATTTCGGCTAGGTTTGCTTGCGAACTCAAGTATTTCTCTTAAGGGTTACTTGCGAACTCAAGTACTTCCTATTAAAATACTGCATTAACTATCAGTTTGCATACTCTGAAGTCCCTCAAAAACTTGTTCACAATTCATAGGGTTATAAAGCACATGAATTATCTGCTGATAAGTGGCTAACAACAAGTTATTGTTCCTACAAGCCATGGGCAGTTCAGTTGACAACAGCCTTATTGTTAAAATCATGCAATGAGTACATCATATAGATAAAATTTATGCTTAAAAAGGAAAGCGTTGTTGTTTACAAATTTGAAAAGTCAAAACATGAAACAAGAGCACAAGCAGTGGAAGTGGGTTAATGGAAGATCCGAATAGTAATGGAGAGGTTTAATGTCAATAACAGAGCTTTATGTTAGGATGCAAGATGATACCGTCATATTTTAGCATCAAGGTTGGATGGAACTGACATTGCTAACATGATTGTACCATTATAATTTTCCTTTAGTTGTGATACCACAAGCAATGCATGCTGAATCTTGATGTTCGAAATAAAAGTGAAATTTTTAAGATTACTATATTATTGAGGTGAAGGCTGACAATGCATTCATCAGGTGTTTATGTTCGTAGTTCATGTTAATCGAAAAATGCAAATATATGTTTAGCCAGGGAAATTTCGCATTTGATCTATGTGGAACATTGATTATGAGCAGAATATTGGTTTGAAAAGATGGCTGGGAGTATTGAATTGTTGAAGATAAATGGTGAATTAGCTAGGAGGTTTTGTCAGGAGAAGGTTTTTTGAAGTTCAAAAGCAGATAGAGCTATCAAATAGCTAGAAAGAGTTATGCACCAAACATCCCTTCTCAAGTCCTTTCCAAGTTGGATGATGTACAAATTCCGACCAATATTCAGTAAACTTTGAATCCCCCAGGATGGATACCGGCTTTTAAAGAAGAAATAATAGCCTTGGAAAAAAATCATACATGGGTAATTACAAATCTCTCACCAGGAAAGAAAGTTGTGACCTACAAATGGGTGTTCATCGTAACGCATAAGGAGGATGGTAGTGTTGAGAGACTGAAAGCTAAATTGGTTGCAAGATGATTCACTTAGTCTTATGGAATAGACTATTATGAAACTTTTGCTCCTATTGGAAAGCTCAATATCATCAGGATTTTTCTTTCCTTAGTAGCAAATTTAGATTGGTTCCTGTATCAACTATATATCAAGAATGCATTCTTCAATGGGAACTTGAAAGAAGTTTATATGGAGATTCTAATGGGGATTCAGAAGTCTTATGGAAGAGATAAAGTGTGTACACTGCTGAAATTCTTGTATGAATTAAAACAGTCTTCTAGAGCATGGTTTAGAAGATTCTCAAAATATGTAAAAGGCCATGATTTTAGACAATGCTAGGCATATAATACCTTGTTTGTGAAGCAGCCAGAAAGAGAAAATAATGAAGATCAAACGGGCTCTATCCAAGGAGTTCGAAGTTAAAGATCTAGGATCACTTAGATACTTCCTTGGTATGGAGGTAGCTCGATCAAGCAAAGGTATATTTGTTTTCCAACGCAAGTATACCTTAGACCTACTGAAGGAGACCGACCTTCTGGGATGCGACCAGCCAGTACACCCATGGATCATAAGAAGAATTTTTGGATAGAAAAGGAGGGGGTTCCAGTAGATAAAGGAATATATCAACGTTTGGTAGGAAAGCTTATATATCTCTCTCACACTCGTCCAGATATTGGATTTGCTATGAGTATGGTGAGCCAATATATGAGTAATTCTATGAAGGAGCACATGGAGACAGTATATCAAATCCTGATATATCTCAAAAACACTCCTGAAAAAGGGATATTGTTCATAAAAAAATGAAAATAGGAAATTGATCATTTATTCTAATGCAGATTGGGTAGGAAGCCAGATTGACAGTCAATCGACCATGGGATATTGTTTATTTGTGTGGGGAAGCCTTGTGACATAGAGGAGTAAGAAAAAAATTTGTTGTTTCTAGAAGTAGTGCAGAATCTAAACTGAGAACATTAGCAGTTATTATTTGTGAAGGTATTTGGATCAAACAAGTATTGATTGAACTGAGAATAAAGATTGAAGGCATGATAAAGTTGAAATGTGAAAATCGAGCCACAATCAATATGGCCAAGGATCCAGTACATCATGATTGAACAAAACATGTTACTATTGATAGACACTTTATATCTGATAAAATATAAAACTCATAAATTGAAGTAGTATATACCTCAACTCATGAACAGCTTGCTGATGTTCTAATAAAGGCACTATCAGACTTTCTACTTGATAAGTTTGTTTGCAAGTTAGGATTGTGCAACCTATAAAACCCAACTTGAGGGGGAGTGTTTAATCACATGACAAGGAGGGGGCCACGACTTTGAGATGTCAGCAATTCATGGGTTGCAACCGTGGATTAAAGTTGAAGATTTCCTCTTCTGACACCAAGATTCGTGGGATTGATTCCATGATCCACGGGATATAATTATTAGAATAAATTAGATTAAATTGCTTTCCTCTTCTGTTTATTATAATTAATTAGATTAAATGTCTTTCTTTTTTTCTTTTTATTCTCCTAGAGTGTATATATATTGTAATGATTCCAATGAATAAAATTTGAATTCAATTTCCCCTAAACAATTTCTTCAAAATCTATTAGACTCGTTTACACCCCTAGTGAAAATCAAGCCACTGTCAATATAGCCAAGGATTCAGTACATCACGATAGAACAAAACATGTTACTATTGATAGACACTTTATATTTGAGAAAATATATAACTCAAAAGTTGAAGTACTATATACCCCAACTCATGAACAGCTTGCTGATGTTCTAACTATCGGGCTCTCTACTTGATAAGTTTGTTTGCAAGTTAGGATTGTGCAACCTGTAAAATCCAACTTGAGGGGGAGTGTTGAATCACATGACAAGGAGGGGGCCCACGACTATGACATGTCAGCAATTCGTGGGTTGCAACTGTGGATTAAAGTTGAAGATTTCCTCTTCTTACACCAAGATCCGTGGGATTGATTCCAAGATCCACGGGATATAATTATTAGAATCAATTAGATTAAATTGCTTTCTTCTTCTGTTTATTATAATTAATTAGATTAAATATCTTTTTTTTCTGTTTATTCTCCTAGAGTGTATATATATATGTAATGAATCCAAAGAATAAAATTTGAATTCAATTTCCCCTAAATAATTTCTTCAAAATCTATGAATACTCATAATCAAGAACTTTAAAATAGATTTTTTTCCCCATATGCATGATAACATTCCTAAGATTCCTTAGTGTGTGTTTGTGTGTTTTTTATTTGTTTATTTATTTATTTATAATTTACGATTATACTTGTGATTTTTTAGGGGTCAACTTGTGTTTGATTTCAAGATTTCTATGGTGGCCCCATCTTTACTATATTGTATGCATGTTCTATGTTGGATAAACACATCATTTCCTGTAAAGCAATGGAGTTTTTTCTAAATTCCATGAGAGCCCCACAGCTCAAGATATTTCACAGACTAAAACATATTATCTTAAAAAATAAATATCATTAAAATAATTTAAATCTGTGTGTTTTTTGTTGAGTTTTTGTGAAGGAGACTGGAGAAGGGCTTTTGCCATATTACGACTCATATGCATCGTCATCCTTTTGCATCCAAAACCTCGACTGGATTCCTTTCTTTAGATGATAAGTTTTTTCCCAAACAAAACAATCCTTTACTCTTTAAGTTCGCCATTTTTATTTCAAATAATTTTTTTTACATTTAAATTTCAAAAGGTTATTACTGTCTATACATGATAATTGCTTGTATTCTTCACACACACACACACTATCAAATTGATTAGAATCATTTTCCACTTAAGTGGACTCTTCTTATTGTCTCGTCTCTGTTGTTTTGTTTTGCCAGGCATTGGATACCTTCAATACGGCAGTGGTATCCCCAATTTACTATGTCATGTTTACAACTCTAACAATTGTTGCAAGTGCAATAATGTTCAAGGTAGATTTAGTTTTTTTTTTTTTTTCTACTACCCTTCTTCAGTTTCACTCTGGTTTTTCTGTTTTGACGGCTTGAAATCTATTCCATTTTAATTCTTACACATTCTTCTTTTCGTTAGGATTGGTCGCATCAGAATATAAGCAGTATAGCATCCGAACTATGTGGATTCATTACAATTCTTTCTGGCACAATATTACTGCATACAACTAGAGAGCAGGAAACGGAGGATGAAATTCCTGCAGCAGGTATGTTTGGATGGCACATTAAGGTTAAATTAGTTGAGTAACTGTTAGAAATTGAACTTCATAAACGCTTAGTACAAGTGCCTATTGATATGCTTGATGGGTGCTACAAATTTGGGGGACTATTGCTTGTCTTCGGGTTGTAAAATGGTTTGAACCGAGTTCTATCATATACAAGCTTGTTCATCTATTTTTTTTGTCGAATTTGAGTTTATCATGTTTAAGTTTTAGAAATCTTGTTGAAGCTTATTTATTTATTTTTATGGAGCTTAACTCACTATTTAGCTTTAACCAAGACTAAGTAAATAATATGAGATTTCAAATTTTACTATGTTGAACTTACTATTAGACTCCTAGCCACTGCAATAATTATAGATTTTAAGATATTTTTCTCCAACCTCTTACCATACATAAGTGTTTCACTTTATGTAGCTAGACTGAAATGCTTCTACTTTTTCTTATTCAGTAAACTCAAACTTCAATTGCCTAACATTTCACACTAGGGGCGAACCAGTGCTTATGTGAGGGTGGGCCCACCCTCAAAATTTTAATAAAATAGTTTAAGGGTATTTTAGTTATTTCCCCACCCATAACCCTAGTTCGCCCAACAAAGGAAAAAAAGACCACAAGGGCAAAAATTTTTTGGCCCGCAGTTGCAAATGTTCACTAGCACCTGCCAACCGTGTCCAGCTCCAACTCAGGAAATATTTTTCGAGTTTGAAACGATTAGAGCCGCAACCACAAACCTTGTTCGGTCATTCCCCAGCGCTTGCAATCACCTGCAATCCGTGCCCAGCTCCAAGCCTCCAATTTTATATGAAAATTTTGCCCACGCTAAAATGAAAGCATGGTTCTGCCCCTCTTCACACTCTTCTCTGATCTTTCCATATCATCTTAGTACTGTGGCTAGACTTGAACCCCCATGAAGTTTATGGAGCATCAAATATGATTTTAGTTTACTGAAATTAAACCTAAATCATACCGTAATTTAGTATAATCTATTCTGTTACAGCACTCTAAAGAAGTGTTTTGAACTGTCCAGTTTCATTATGTATTTCTGTATATATTTTTTTAAAAGTCTTCTAATTAGATTCTGAAAATTTTGCTATTGCTATTTGATCCAGGCTTAATATCCTGGTACATCTGGAAAGACAGCACAGAGTCTCTTCTGATGAATGTAAAAGATGATTATTTTGTTACTTTGGATTGTTCAGCTTACATGACTGATATATGCTCCATTGCAAACGCGGCCAACGTGTAGGGGGTCTCGAACCAGTTTTTTGTAAGTAACCTTTTTAAATGGACAGAAATGTAGTTGCCTTTCAGTTCTACAGAGATCCATTCCATATTTTTCCTTGTGAAATAATGTGAAAACTGAACTGGGAGAAAGCTGGATGGAAATTGCAGGCCTGCTTCCAGGTTTTCTTTCGTTTTTTGTTTGTAAATTTGTGTAGATTTTAGCATATTGCACTATGCCTGAGTTTTGGGGAAATTATTCTGTGCGGAGGCCCGACGTAGAACGTGGTCCGGAGACCAACCAACGTTAGCAGTACCGAGCAAGGGTTGACATGGCGCATTCTAATTGGTCTCTGGGCGGCGTTTGGCGTTCGCTCAGAATAATTAATCTGAGTTTTGTACTTTTAGAGTGATTAGGATTAAGGATTTAGATGTTTTTTACAGGGTTTAGGGATTCAGGCGTGTCTAAAAAGCCCAATCTTTTTATCTTGTAATAATTTAAGTGCATCATTGATTGCAACTTTGGATAATGATCTCATTTTTGCCATTTATGGAAGGAAATATTTATTTATAGTTTGAATTTTCATTTCAAATATTCTCCCTTTGACTATTTTTGGGTTGATATTAACAATCTTTTATTATTTCTCATTGACTGGTAGACAATTTTTTTTTTCAATCAAATAAAGGTTTTAATTTTATAGTTATTAGTTGTTATTGTTGATTCTATATGTATTGCTTATTGGTATCTCTTGTGCTTTGACCGTGCGCTTTAACCGCACTTTGTGCTTTGACTGTACTTTCACTGCACTTTACCTGCGCTTTTGGCGCGCTTGACTTAAAATTTTGTTGACACATGCACATTTCACGCGTCAAATTTTTAGTGGATATCCGGACCTATTTTTATATCCGGAGACCGGACCTAATAATTTGACTTAATCCAGACATCAAAAATAAAATTTCTTTTTTTAGAATATTTAATTAAAGCGTACATTTAATATATTTTTATTTATGGTACTGATTTTTCAATTTAGCAATTGAAAAAACATTTTCTTTGAATTGAAATTGATATTTGAATATTAATGTATTTTTAATATTATAATCTTTAAATGATATTAAAAATATCATAAAAGATTAATCAGATTGTAGGGACAATATTTATTATTTTTTTAAGATTTACTTAAATAAATATTTCTTATTAAATGAATTATCAGTTAGTTATAAATAAAACTTTGGCTGTGATGAATTCCCTTTCTCTCTCGCTTTCCCTCTCTACATAGAATTTATAAATGAATGTATTCCCTTTCTCTCACTTTCTCTCTCTGTATATATTTTGTATGAATTTCAGAATTTGTCTTAATTAGACTAAGGAATTTTTTTATTGTTTTTAAAAATATTTTCTTAGTTAAAAAATTTAATTTTTTACAAAAAAAATGCTTTAAGAAGGATTAAAAAGCCGTTTCAAATTAAAGCTTCATTTAGAACAATTTTTTTACTATTTTCTAAATCATTTTCTACTTAAATTTTTTTTTGTTTAAAAATTTTGTATACTTAAAATTATTTTTTAAAAAATTATTCCAAACAAAATTTAAATATCTCAAAAAAAAAATAAATCTTACAATTATGAAAACCACAATTTTCTTTTGTTCTTTTCGAAGCAGTTTCTTTGATCTTTTTTTCAGTAAATTTTTGTGCCACTTGTCTGATAAATGGCAGTGCGCAATACATGGCTTGATTTTAGCCATGACTTGAGTGAGTTAGATGCCAAAATGGGCAATTCAACTTAGTTCAATTCAGAATTATTATTTATTATGTGCTGAAATATTTATGATAAAAAAATTTAATATTTTAATATTATTTGAAAATTTATGTGAAAATTTTTTATTTAGAAAATTTTGATTAGGAAAATTAAGAGGCATAAATGAGTCATTAGAAGTGTGAAGTTTTATATGTCCATATCATCTAAGACGACTCTCTCTAATATTGTTAGCCAATTGAGTTACTCTAAACTTTTCTTAAATATACTCATTATGCATTCTATCTCTAAGAGCGAAGCCACTCATCCACACAAGCATCCTCATCTCTGCAACATTTAACTTAATTTTATGCTTCTATTTTGATGGCCAACATTCCGCGTCATAAAAAATTGCAGCTCTCACCGCCATCTTATAGAAATTTTTCTTAAATTTCTATCATACAGTAGGCCTAATACATTCCTCCTGTTCAACCATGCAACTTAAATTCTAGTAATAATATCCTCATCTATTTCACTATCATTTTGAACAACGGATCCAATATATCTAAACTGTATACTCTTACTAATGATTTGATCACCCAAAGTCACATTTCCCTGCTAAATCTATTACTATTAAAATTATACTCCATCTATTCAATTTTAGATCCTTCATATATCAAGTTTTCCTTCAATTCTCTCTCTACCAATAAAAAATAATGTTATGCTTCACATATTTTTCATAGGCATAATCAAATTAATATAAACATAGTAAGAGTTCATGATATTTGCATATTAAAATATGAGCAACAATATAAGCCTTTGTTTCACTATATGAGATTAACTACATAAATCTTTTTTTCTCCATTATATTTTATTAAAATTCAATTTTTCATTTAAATTTTTAAAAAAATTATTTCTAATATGAGCATAAATTTATAATAAGACTACATATATATTATATAATCTCATATCATCTAATTACTTTTAATCCCAATAAATATTCCAACCCAACAATCAAATCAAAATTTGACTAACAAAATCAGGTTTGGATTAACCCAATTAATTTTGAAATCATTTGGGTAAAAAATTGCAACCAATTTAATATTCAGATCAAATTCAAAATTAATCACACCATCATCAATTCAAGTCAAACAAGTCTAGTTAACCTATTTAAGTCATATTTGAGTTAAACACATCATACGTAGATTAAACATGTTAACCTTAATTACACTATAAACGTGATAAATAGGACAAACAAACAGATCAGATTTGAGTTAGTCGAATTCAAATCAAGCATTTTTTCTGTACGATAAACAAGTCATACATAGGTTGAAATGTTGAATCAATCTTCGTCTAAATTTAATAATAGCCCTCAACTCAAATTGAAACCCATAATAAATGTATATATAAGAGGATTTACATACATATATCATTTTATTTACATCAATAATACTCAAAATTTTAATATTTCATATCTATCATATATAATAGATATTATTATATGCGGAGTCAGTAAAAAGAGAACCGTTTTATTTTGTAATTATGAACAATAAAAATATATTAAAAGCGCATAGATGAATAGTAAAAACACATGACAAAAACAAAATCGAACGACTTTCTGCTCCCAATATCCACACATATAAACAATTTTAAAATCAAATGTGTCACTCCTTTGATTAATTATTCTGTGTGAACATCGAACACCGTACGAAGACCAATCAGAATGCACCACATCACTCATGTGCTTGATACCGCGGCTCGATATTGCTCATGTCCGGAGACCAATCAGAATGCGTCATGTCACTCATATGCTCTTTACCGAAGTTCAGTACTGATCAGTACAGCTGACATGATATGTTATGAATGATCTCTGAATAACGTTCTGCACCTAATATCTGCACAAAATAATTTCTCCACTCCTATACTTAAGATTCCCATCATCCATCACCACCCTATAATTTTTAATGTTTTATTCATAAATATATATAAGGGCATATTCAGAGCATCTACTCCCAACTTGCAAGGAAAAATCCAAAGTGGTCTGCCACAGCCAAATGAGGAGACTAGAAGCCGGGCAACGATCTAATCTCCTCTCTCATCTAGTCATCTAATTAATCACAGCCGTCGATCCACTGTGCAGAGGTCAACAGGCCGTCCATTAAATAATAAACGGATAAACAGAGGCAACACAGGAAATAGCTAAGAGCGAGAAAGAGATTTCTCTTTCTATCTCCTCGCAAGCACTGAAGAAATCATCAAAAGGCTCTGATTGTTCTTTTTCTATAAGATTTGAAGGATTAATTAATAAATTGGAGAACGAGCAAATCCAGATTTTTGTTTGTTAAGTTTTGATTTTCAGTTGATTGCGCACAAACAAAGCAATCCATATGGATTTATGTGATAAATATTGTTTTTTATGAGTTTATTTGATCTAAACCCAGCCAAGAACTCATTCAATATCAGCAGAAACAATTATATGATGAAAAAGTACTCCAATTTATTTATAATCTAAATATCAGCGACTCGATAGGACATGAGATGATAAGCTCACGAGAAACCCCAAATCAGAACATGAAAACAGAGATCGACGCAGAACAAAACCAACACAAGATGATACCACAGTAGACATAATCGAAAGGTAGCGAGAAGTTCAAAACACTGGGATAGGGTTATTCAAGGCAGATCTTCATCGAGAAGCATCTAAGAGATCTGGCCGCAGTCGGCGATGGTCACTGTCTTCGAAGTCCGTCCAGACGAAGATCCAACCTTCTCAACGGCCCTAATAACATCCAAACCTTCCACAACTTGTCCAAAGACAACATGCTTCCCATCGAGCCAAGACGTCTTCTCCGTGCAGATGAAGAACTGGGACCCGTTGGTGTTGGGTCCGGCGTTAGCCATGGATAGGATACCGGGACCTGTATGTTTCTTCACAAAGTTCTCATCGGCGAACTTGGCACCATAGATCGATTCGCCGCCGGTTCCGTTTCCGGCAGTGAAGTCACCGCCCTGGCACATAAACTGAGGGATAACGCGGTGGAAGGTAGAGCCCTTGAAGTGAAGCGGCTTCCCGGACTTGCCGATGCCCTTCTCGCCAGTGCAGAGCGCGCGGAAGTTCTCCGCCGTGCGAGGAGTCGTGTCGGCGTAGAGCTCCATGACGACTCGACCGGCCGGGCTACCGCCGATCGCGATATCGAAGAAAACGCGCGGATTGGGCGCCATCTTTGGAGATCGATTAGGGTTAGAGTTAGGGTTTGCGTGCCGTCTTTTCTTCTGGATGGAAATTAGGGTTTGGCTCTGTTGACTTAAATAGGAAATGTAGGCGGAGATGTTAACGTAGGGAGTTATCTTGACCGTTGGTTTGTACACGTGGCTCTCCTTAGGGAGACCTGGTGAATTTACTTAACTATAGTTAGCGAGACTATGGTTAAAAAGACTACGGGCATATTCTGTCGCCACTCTCGCCGGCTTAGGAATATAGAAGGGGTCGGAAGGTGCGGTCCGCGGCAGGTGAGCGAACCGGCGATTGGTCTGCGGTTTGAACCGGTGAGCCCTCTCTCGAAGGGTTGAACCGGGAAGGAACTTTGTGGAGGTTGAACAAAAGTTGACCGGAGCCTAATATGTGCGAAAATGATAGAATATATTGATATTTTATGATATTAAAATAGAAAATATTCTAGAAATATTATATGATTTGTGCTAAATTGATTTCTAATCTTATGTACTATATTTGTGACTTATAATATATGAAATACTCAATATTTATCCTTACGCTCCATGCAATATGTACCGTACAATAAAAGAACAACTCAACATATGACAAAATAATAACACATTGTCTTGTTATAACCTATAAATTACAACATATAAAAGATGTTGAAATCCGAGATCTCGAGCTGATGATTTTGATGATAACAAATATTATTATATTTTTATCTTTATTTTTCTAGTACTATTATTGCATATTTATCCTTACTTTTTTTTTTCTTGAGTAAAAAAGTTTTGTAAAAGATATATGCTAGCTTGACAACTGTGCAAACACATACAAAGAGTGAAATTTAGAAGTTAAGATTTTTTTTTAAGATCGCATCATATGATCTTGATCGTAATGTACAATCAATTCATCAAAAAAATAATTAAAATGGGCAACTGAGAGATTAAATTTGTTAAACGAATCTTATTATAAGAACTCAATCGTACATGACGACCAGTTTATCATCCAAGAGATCATCCTGGACAAACTTAAGTAAATGTATTAATCGCACTATATGATCCATGATTCGTACAGTACGATTAGTTTGATATTCTTGCACTGATCGTACTGGGTTTGTTATCGTATAGAGTGGACATGAATTTTTAAACAAATCATACTATACGAACAGAGTCGACTAGATTGAATATTAAGAATTTTTTGTAGCATTGTATTTAAACATCTCTTATTTAACATAAATGAGTCTTTTGTCATTTTTTCTATGAGGGCTTCTTTGTAAGTTAGGGTTTGTAGATAGAGCAATGGTCCTGGGAGAGAAAGAGGTGGATTTTGAGAGAGAAGAGCCTTGTGAGATCAAGAAAGTGTGTGATAGGGGTTTTACACATGGTTGCTCCGTAAACATTCACCTTTTTCTCTAAGAGTCATTGTTTTGCTTGAGGGAAACACTGGGAAGAGGCTCGCAGTGTCAAATAATCTGGCTACTCCATCGCATCTAGTTTGTGGAAAGGATTTATGCTTCTCCACCTCACTAGGAGAGTGAAAGGGATTCGGGTTCCCTGCCTCACTAGGAGGGTGAAAACTATTTCATCTTCTCCGCTGCACCGTGAAAAGGTAGAAGTGATTTTGTAAGAGCTTTTTAGTCTTGCTGTGGGAGCTAAAGGAGAGTCATTAAAGGCTTAATGCAATACTCTTATGAGTCTTCAACTTTGTCAATTTTGAATTGTAGAGTTATGGAAAGTAGCTAGGTGCATACTTTTGATAATTAACCTTCCATCTAAGATTTTTGTAGATTTATAAGGCCGAGAAATGAACTTTCTACCTGAGGTGAAGTAGCTGAATTGTTGTATAAGGTTGAATGGTTGAGTACTTTGAAATGAGCTATCAAATATATTTAGTTTGAGATCATGGTTAGCGTGTACATGGTCAAGTCCAAATATATAGGGCTGAGTAGCTAATATGCTACTTGGCGATGAGGTGCCAAAGGCTTTATGATGAGCCATAATCTTTATTAGTTTTAGGCTATTGTTGATGAGTGGATGAACAGTCATAGTTGAGTGGCTAAGTTGTAAGTGTTGAATAAGATGGCTTGTTACTTAGCATCAAGCTATTAAGGTTGTAACATGCATTCTTCATTAAAATTGGGATATTATTGATGGGTAGAGAATTATATATGGCTAATTTTGCATTCCTTAGACTACTTCCTAACTTTCATGCCGATAATATTATAAATTTGAATCATCATTGGATTGATCAATGTTTTATCAAGTTGATTTACTAATCCTTTAAGCAAGGGATTATAGGGAAATTGACTAATATGAATTTGATGCCTCTTTTAGCTATTATCTCCCCCATTTACTATTTAGAAGTTAAAGCACAAACCAAGGTTATCCTAGTAGTCTAGGACTAGGACACCATCTCTAATACTAATCCCTCATGTATAGCGAAGGATGAATATAAAAATGCTATCAATCTATTAGGTCAAATTTGTTCACCCCAAAATAACTAGGATGTGTTCAGTATAAGTATGTGATTAAAATAAATAACAAATTGTAGTGAGAATAACAAGAAAAAAACACATGAAGATTTAGATGATTTGATGAGATCCACTTATATATGTAAAAGCAAAGAGATATAAATATTCATCATTCTTAAGGCAAATATATGATACAAAAATTTAATGCACCTAATATTCTAAATTTTGCCCCATTAGTATTGCCCTTCCCTCTTATTCTCTTTATAATCATAAATGATTCCACCATCAGCTATTCTTATCGAATAAGCAGAAAAGCATATCGCTCATATGTTGGACCATCAAACTGTGTTTATAGTTGAAAATGCTAAATATTAAGATTATAGTTATAAGACCACCTAACCTATTACGATGCACCCTAATAGGTTATTGACGAATACTTGTCATATTGACAGAACTGTGCCCTCATAAGTTGAAAATGCTAAATATTAAAATTATAGTTATGAGTTGAAAGCTCTTCAAATTTAAGGCGCACCCTAATAGTTGTAAATGCTAAATATTAAGACCACCCTAATTCCTATGCCCGTTAGTTTAAATTTTAATGGCTATTGTCAACAACCTAATAAAGAAATATCTCAATATATCATCTATCAAGATAAATGCTAACCTCTGATCACTTCACTGACTACATTTTTTTGTCATAACCACTACAATTTGCTCGTTAAATAAGGAAGATGATTGATACCTTATAACCATTGATTTCCTATCATTTTATAGAGCAACATGTGATGATAGGCATGAAGAATTATGAATGGGTTCTTAAGTCTGGTAACCACTAAATTTGAAAACAATAACTTTTAGCTATACTAGATTTAGAATTATGAACGGCTTTCTTACTGCTTTTTAAAACAGCTCTCTAGTACAAAAATTAAAATATTTGTACTAAAAAGCTGTTTTAAGAAGCAATAAGAAAGCTATCCTAGACGAAGCCTTAGTCTAAATTTTGCTTAAGATTTTTATGGATTTAAAATAACTTTGAAATCAAACCTACATGAGATAGCTAAGAAATACTAAGCTCCACATATCTTAATAATCCCATGCTTTGATAGTAATTTTTTGATATAATATCATAAGAGAACCAATCATCACTATGTGACACCATCTTTATGAATAAAATAAATATTCTCAACGATAAAGCAAAAGTGATGGACATCCTTACTTAGTCAAAAGATTCGATTAAATGAAAATATTTTTCCATTTCATTTCATTAAAGAAAGTACAAAAAAAAAGGAAGATAAAAAGCTCTCCAATACCATTATCAGAGAAGAAGAAATGGGATCATTAAATACAGCTAGAAGAGAAAAGAGTTTCCAATGGAGAACATTTCTTTGTTCTCTTATCTTAGCAGATTTAGCTTCTGCATGAAGCAGAATCCCTAGCCCTCAATGATAAAAAGATTGAAAAGCAAAGTGTTTCTGTGGGAAACTTGATTGCTTGATGAAGATTATTTGCATTTTCAGAGTTATTGAGAATGTTTTTTTTTTTAGAGGTTTAGGTTTCATTTGGAATAGTTTCTTACTGTTTCTTAAAGCATCTTTCTAATACAAAAATTAAAAATTTTGTATAAAAAGCTCCTTTAAGAAACAGTAAAAAAACCGTCACAAACGAAACTTTATTGTTACAGAGTTCTACCACAGTTCTGATCTTCAATTACTTGCTAGAGAATACATAATCAAGCAATAGATAAAAACTCAATTTATGTATTTTTGTATGCACTTTGTATTATTTTATGTGCATGATTGTTGTTCTACTTTTTGTATTGATTTGTATATATGCATGGCTTTCTTTTTTCCACACAAACAATAAGATGTGTGATGTCGTGATCTTATTAAGGTTTCGTTTGGGATGACTTTCTTATTACTGTATAAAGTCGTTGTAGAGAAAGTAATTTTTTTAAAGTTGTTAGAGAAAGAAGCTTCTTAATACAATTTTTTTTAAAAGCAATGAAAAAAATAGTTGTCAAATAAAAATTATAGTTGCAATTTGAAAAACAAAACAGTGAAAAAGATGTCTTAAACAAAGCTTATAAATTTTGTATTAAAAAGTTGTTTCAGAAAACGTAAGAAAGATATCTTAAATGAAGCCTAAAGCTTCATTTGAGATGACTTTTTTACTGCTTCTTAAAGTAACTTTTTAGTATAAAAATTAAAAATTTTGTACTAAAGCACTGCTTTAAGAATAATAAGAAAGCCGTTCCAAACGAAGTCTAAATCCTCAAATTTTGACTTCATTTGCATCTCCTAGAAGGGTTTTCATCCCCATTTGGCTCTTGCTGAAAAAGATGAGCAATTCTACACTTTTTCTATTATTGTTTGCTTAGCACAATGAACATTATTGTGTCTCAAAAGTTGGGTTGGGAGAGAGAAATATTGATAGTGAAATTTTTATTATGGATAGCTCACACAAAACAAAAACTTTTATATAAAATTGTAACCATAATGAACCCTTAAGGTATGTAAGCAATAAATGTTTTTGGTGCAACCTGTTACTAAGATTTTGTTTGGGACGTTTTTCTTATTGCTTCTTAAAACAACTTTATAGTACA